ATTGAAAGTCGTATAGTGCTGATGTTTGTGAAATCCTGTGAAATAAATTAAATCAAAGGCATTATAAGCTCCATTTTCATTCACTTTACTCGAAAAACGCTTTTAATGCTGATTTCATCTGTAACACCTGACTTTCAACAAAAATGGAAGCTTGCTGGGGAAGAAACCTATGCAGCCAAAAATAATTGGGCTAAGTAAGCAGAAGAGACCTCTCGTTAAAAGCATTGATTCTTTTTTTCTATTTTTATTCTCGAGCTTAACAATCGGTGCTTTTCGCAATCAGCGGCGATCGGATATGAACGACGAGGGATGACCTTTGCGATACTAATACGCCCACAAGCGGTGTGTTGTCCGCTGTTGCGATCTCCGTCGTACACCTGTTGCTTCTTCAAAAAAGTTTTATCGTTGATTTGCCTTGCTTTACGTATTTTAATCTCATCAAAATTCTCATTATTATCTTTTTATTCTCTTGATTGATAGCGGACTTTTTGATAATATTAACTGTCGTTTTTTTCGGCAATCTTGTGAAAGTGCGGAATGCTACAGTTGGATAACAAAAAGAATTTTTTGTGCTGTCGGACTTCAAAGGTGTATAAGTGACTCACTTAGATTAAAAAGCTTCAATCAAGCGACGCACAAAAGTCCGGTTCTCTGTGAAATACAAACGCTATTGAGATTTGTGGCTCTAATTTTTTTTTGCCGAAGGAGAAATCGAAATGCACTGCTGCGTAATATGCGTAACTCCTCCATTAACTTCAAGATAAGTAAGAATTGAAGGCTGCAAACTAATGGTCCTCTCTTTCTCAGCGTTTTTCTGCTTAGAGCATAATAGCTAGTAATTACTTAGAGTGCTGTCTCTATCGCAAATTTTCCACCTTTGCAATACTGCCTTGCCCTAAATGTTGTTTATCAAAAGGCGTCAATTGTCATCCACAATTGCGGTTGATAATAACCTGTTCTTCGACGACTTAGTTCTAACCTCCTATTTTTTAAAACCTTTGGTTTTGTGGTTTACCTTGCAGAGTGCACGTTTTATTGAGCTTACTAGCATAAGCAAATGTAGAGCTGGTAAAGAACTTTAATCTTTTTCGCAGATCTTTTTTATGTTTAGAGTTCTTTTCGAATTCCAACCTACTACTCATCCGATAGGAAAATTTGTGAGTGACAAACTCTTTGAGGAGACTATGTTAGTACCATTCCTATACCGCACAGGTTGTGGCTTAGTTTCACTTCAACACGCAGAGGTTCCAGGTTTAAACCAGAAAGCTCATAAATTTCTTAATATGGCGCAACATGTTTTCTATTCTGCACTCACCATGGTAGGTCTAATATGTCCTCGAGGCCCCATACAGCTATTTTTGGAGCTCTATTGGAGAAATCTAGAGATAGTTGCTTTCGTATAGGTGCTTTTTAATTGTCACCGGGGTCTGGTATACCTTGACAACTCACTAAAACTTATTTATTGTGTAGGTGTTGAGGTTTTTTGTGTAAAGCATATTAAATA